TTGGCATTTAGGTGCTGTGAACAGTTCATTATTCATAGATTACTTTTTTGACTTCCGAGTCCTCAAAATGATATATCTGCATGAATTCTCCAGTTTTTAGAATTTTTTTCAGATTTCGATTTTAGGAAAAGAATGCTTGTGGTATGTTTAAAAACACTTCTCTAGTGCTTATAAATAAAACTTATTTTTAAGATTCTTAATTGTTACTGTTTTTATAGATACCAAATTAATTTCTGTTCTATTGTGGAATATTGGTGATGGAGGATACATAATTCAGATAACAATGAGTGCTAATTATTTGCTGAATGCAAGCTCACTTCACTGTACATATGTGACAGTCTTTCAATTCAACATGCAGACCTTTTTTAGATGGCTGAGAACAAATTTTGTAAATACAAAGCATGTATATTTACATTTATCGAGCCACTGGCTATTGCTTATGCATGCAATAGGGAGATAAGGCTGTCGTAGTCTGTGGGTAGTTTTCTAAATGATTCATTAACTGTGCTTTGTAATGGTAGATGGATGTCATGTATTTACTGTAGTAACTGAAGATTAATGTCAGTTACTCTAGCTAGTTTAAGCATTGTAATAGTTGTGTTTATACACACAGGTATTCTTTGCATTATTGTTGGAGCTAATATTTTGGCAGGAATAAATTGAAATTAATTGAATTAATTGTAAAAAGACAGAAGTATTTCTGAAACATTATTTGTAATGTAGGAGTTGCTATAATGGATACTTGTTGCTGATGTTTTGTAGGAGGGGTTATACCAAACGTTTTAGTAAGCAGTGTTTTGCAAAACACTGGTAAAGCTTATGGTGTCTTCCCGAGCAGCAAAGCATTTCTTTGAAATCTGTCAAATTAAAATACCTCGTACTTTGCTTATACATTACCATACTGAGAAAAGTACTACACTAAGAAATCATTTTTAAAAGCAGCAGTCTGAACTGCATCCAGAATTTGAAATATGGGATGCCTTTAACTTACAAAATTGCAGTCTTTAAATTCTGTCACAGATAGTATTTTTCCAGTGTTACAAAGATAGAATATTCAAATTATTGGTGGCTAAATTATCAGTGTCTATAAACAGTGACTGCAGTTTATTCTTCTTCAAAGATACTGTTATCCTGTATATAGAACATGGTGTTGCAGTATTGGGAGTCTGGCAAGTTGTTGCCAAAAAAAACCCAAACCCCAAAACAAAATACCTGTTTGCACCAATAATATGTGAATGTCATCACATGCAATGTTTGCACTGCAATATTTCAAGACCAGTAGTAGCTGCCTAAATTGGGTCAGAGAAGGTCACAGAGATGTTGCTAATTCTAAGTGATCTGTAGAGATGTGATACTAATCTTCAAGGGATAAAAGTATCTTTAGTTTAAGAAAAAAAATTTAACATCGGGGTTAAATCACCGTTGGATTTTCCGCATGTATTTTGCCCATATCCAAGTAAGTCCTTGGTGAGTTAAACAGACTTACAGCCTCCTTTAATACCTTTGTAGAATTGAATTACAGCCCAGTACTTGCTTGTGTTAAAAAAATTTGTTACTAGTAATTAAAACATAGTGAAAGTTAATGGTGTGCCCAGGAAACTAGAATATCTAGTTCAAAAATGTTCATATTGTGATGCAGGTATTGAGTTTAAAAAAAAATCTAAATCTTAGTGTTGTGGCTAGAAAAAACAGTGAGTGGCATGTTGGAATCTATTCTTTGAATAAATAATGTTACTCTTATGTAATGTGCTGACTGATGTGGGATCAACAACTACTTTAATATTAAAAACAGTCATCGACAATAAATGTCCCAGTGCATGCACACTGAACCCTTAACAGTGGATTTGAGCTTCAGACATGTAGGGGAGAGGACAGAATATTTGGAAAGGAGAACTAGGGCTTACCTTTTTGTTAGCATTAATAATTTAAACCTTTAGTAATGACATGAATCAGTATATACATTAAAATAAGTAGTATTCCTTTGTGCCTATAATATCTTTGAATGCAAGTTCTGGTAAATAACTACTTTTGCACAGAAATCACTCTGTAAATGGAGACTTAAAATTACACAGTAAAAAATACACCTGAAATACTTAATAAGAAACATTATTAATAATTCTTCAGCATTTCTCTCTATCCATTATCTCGTTCTTTTATATAGGAAATTGATTTTCAGTAACCTACAACTTTGCGATAATCTGAAGGGCAAATAAGTGCCTTGATTTTCCTTTCTACTGTTGAAAAGTTGGGAAAACCTAGTTGGAGTTGAGCGAGAGTAACTAGGAAGAAAACCTGGCGCAATGTTAGTTTATGCCAAGATATTTTGATGAAGTATTGTATGAGGAAATCTACTTGTTCATGAACAGATTTTTACAGAGCAGCTTATTCCTAATGTTCTGAATGTGTTAAATATCTGAGTTGAATTCTGTTTATTTACTTGGTGTGGAAAGTAAGCACGCTGAAAATGTAACTAAAAAGAGTTTGCAAAATGCATAAGTAGGACACCAACCAGTTTCGAATTTTGTTTTCTTTCACAGATTTTAAAAGATCCAGGGTTATTGTTTATCGTGGGGAACTATAGATAGCTTTTGTGTCTACTGCTAATAATAGATGATATACCTTCTTCAGTGCATTGTGCTGAAGTCCCCCTCCTGCTGTAACTGAAACCAGTGGCGTGGTATTCCTGTCTGCTTCAGAAGGGCAGGATCAGTCCCTAAAATTGCAGTTTACCTTGTGGGTTTTATGTTGGAAAGGATATGGTCAGATGATTTAAATGCACGTGGAAAGCTGCAGTTAACCCTATCAGCTGCTTTACTCATCTTCTGACTATGTCTTATTGTCAGAACTGGAATTTTTTCCCCCAGTTTTAATCAAGTAGGTGTAGATAGAGCATATATGAGCACACAGTGCTCAGCTGAAGCACGTTAGCCTTGGGGTGCAAAACCCCAGCCCTGCAGCAGGCTGTTAGCAAAGCTTAGAGTTGGTGTCTGCTGTGGGGTCACAGAGGCGCGGAGATCAAAGGATGGTCTTCCAGCTGGAATCCCAAGGTAAACAGATTTAGCAGCATCTGAATCATTTAGTAGTATGTGTGAGTAAATACATGTATGAAATCAAATTGAAAAAAGGGAAGTATGGCTGATAGCGGGTAAAAGGGAAAGTCTTGAAGGAAGAGCTTAGGGGGCTTGTACAGGTCGACGGGGCTGGTACAGGTCGACAGAGGATGTCAGCGGTGCTTTGTGCCACATGGCTGGTAAAATTGGCAGGGGGATTCTGGTTTGGGTGTGCCGATTTCTTTCAAGGAGTTGCTAGTTTTGTGGGGTTTGTTTTCAAAATGATCCTGCTGTGTGGTTTAAGGCCTTTCTGTTAAGCGCAATGTGTCAAGGCTGCTTTTTCTTTAAAAATTGTTAAACCAAGTAGATATTCGTGGGATTGATAATTAAAAAAGGTAATTCAAAACTTATTGCCATTGATAAAAAACCAGGGTTATTTCCTAAATGAGGCATTAAACTAACACTGAAGCATTTCGATTAAAAAAAAAAAAAGAAATGACCGGAATATAACCTATTTAGAGTCTGAGTCACCCTCGTGCAGTTCATTTTAGAACAGGCACCTCTTTTCTGGTGTATCCCCCCCCATCCTCCTGAATTACAGACCTAATTTGTTGCAGCATATGCAGTTCCCTGGATTTAAAAAAGAAAGCAAATTAAACCTTCAGTAACTACAATTACGGGATGAACACAAGGTTCAGAGTCTCGGCCCTCTGTTCTCCCCGTGTTTGTCCCTGTCCCTGGGCAGTGGAGCCTCTTGCCTGGCGGGCGGCAGTCTGCAGCGTTGACTCTGTGATGGAGGGAGGCTGAGCCCATCCGAGGGATGCTCTTTAATAAGAGATACCAGTGAAGCTGCGCATCACCAGTTTCACAGTAGATGGCAAAAGCCAGCATTTGCAGTGCTTTAATTTATCCAGATTTGATACTAGGATGGTGTCCTTCCCTTGTCAGCACTGGTGATGGTGAAGGCAGGCTGGAAGCTATAGTAGAGGCAAATACCTATCATAGAAGAGGCTTGAAGCACCCGGGTTTTTCTGTGTCCTTTGCCTGTGCAGTTTTTGGATGAAAACTTGCATTCTGCAGATAAACATGCAGGCAGCTTTACTCATGTGACTGGTGGCACTGGCGACAATGGCGCTACTGTCCTGCATGCACTTTGCTAAGCTGGATTCTTATTTGTCATTTTTTGGGAAGGTCTGTTTGAGTCTCTTCTGTGAAAATTGGAGTTTCACATTTCAAAATAGATGTGCTTGTTAAAATTCCAGCCTGCACCTGTGCCTGATAAGCCTTTCTCTGATTAAACCTTTTTGATTCCAGTAAATATCTGAAGACCTTTGTATCTCTGAAGATTGCAAATCCAGGGCTTTATTATTTAAAGAGGTGTCAGTTAGTGAAAAATATAACTGGAGAATATAGGTCATCACTGGAACCAGTAAATGGTATGTCTTGGGATACTGAGTTTATTAATTGAAGGCAATCTGAATGACGACACATTGCAGATTGACTGTGCCTGGTTAATGTTGTTGTCATTGCACTCTGTGATACAGTTATTAAATAGGTAAAATATTTTACCTTTTCATATAGAGCCATACACTTACTTCATCTGATTTAATGGAACTATAATTTTAATTATGATTATTACCTTAAATTATAATTAAATTTATGTGGTTTAAATTTACATTTGTGAAAATGGCTGCGTGATGAAAGCAGAAATCAGCTTCGCATTAACAAAAAAAGAAGGTTTTTAACTGCATCTTAGTATATGCTCACAGCCAAAGACTAGCATGACCTACTTTGCAACAATAACAGAGGAATCAAGCCGGGTTTTTTTGTTGAAGTATCTAAATTGGCCATGAATGCTACCTACTCATTCGTTTGTAAGTATCTTTAAAAATAGCTATTGTATCTATGAAACTTAAGGTTTTTTTCCCCTTCTCCTCTTATTTTGATGTAGATAATTAGCACCATGGAGCCTCAGGTGTCGAATGGCCCTACTTCCAATACAACCAATGGACCCTCCAGCAACAGTAGGAACTGCCCTTCCCCCATGCAGACAGGGGCTGCTACGGATGACAGCAAAACCAACCTCATAGTCAACTATTTACCCCAGAACATGACCCAGGAGGAGTTCAGGAGTCTCTTTGGGAGCATTGGTGAAATCGAATCCTGCAAGCTCGTGAGAGACAAAATTACAGGTAAGTGCTTCGTGTTGTTGACTTTATGTGCATCGGGGTCAGTTTACATTTGGAGTCAGCAAAACCTCAGTGCTTCTATTGCAAATGCTTAGCACAGGGAATACTGCAAATACCGTGGTAAGCTTCTTCAGATGGTAAACCTTTAGTTTTCAATGACACACATTGGATCTAGAAAAACTATAGGAGAAGCCCCTCATCTTTCAGCCTCCGTACGAACATTGCCAGTCTGCATGCATGTAACACTGTGCAGCTTCTTGCAGCAGAGCTCAGATGATGGCATTACTTTCCTGATCATTCTGGGTTTTATTTAACATTGACTTAAGTTGTGGGAGGGTAGTCTAAATGGCTTAAGCCAACTGACTGGTCCTAACTCTGATTATTTCTTTTGAACTTCACCATGCCTTCATCAAATTTTTGCCTGTTAACAACACTGTAAAGTCAAGACAGTGCTGGGTGCCCATCACAGCTTGTTTACCACAGTGTTATGGAACAGCAGTGGTCTGCAGTTGGAAACCACCGCTCTGAATTTCATTCAGACGTTTGTGGATACTGGTTAATGAACTCTGTTCCCTGAAAACATTTTAATTTGCTGTGATCCTTTTCTGCATGAAGCAACACCTGTTGGTAGGTGCCTTCAGAATAAGAAGAGCCTCCCATTACAGATATTACCTCAAAGAGGAGAGAGATGTCTGCATTATTGCTAGAGGAGGCATGGACGGGTGCAGATGCACCTAGCCTACTCGGTCCTTGCTGCCGCAGCCAGGAATTCACTGATGCACAGGAAGATGATGGGATGAACAATCGGCTTTTATAGCTTGCTTTATAGGTTAGTTTTATAGGTTCTGTGTCTACTCGCACCGTAGGTGGGGAACAGCTGAAATTTCACTGCTGTTTAGTGCATCGCCAGTGCTGTTATGTTTAGCACAGAGCAGCAGCCTTGGGAATGAAAGAGTTCCAGAAAAGGAGCCGTCTCCTCTCAGATGCACTCCTGGCAACTTGGGTGTGCACTCTGTGGAAAGAGGCACCATGTGAAGATGAGGATTTAAAATGCAAATCTTCATACCTGCTTCCATAACAGCCTGTCAGCCGTTGTATTGGCATCATTAGGATGATCTGCTTAGTGCTTTTAAACATGCAGTGCTTCTTTTTTTTATTTACTTCCTGACATATAGCAATGTTCTGGTTGAACACAAGGCGCCTAACAAATGGCAGTAGCTGCAGGGCAGCTCAAGTCCTTAAAAGTGTAGTCCGGCAGAGCTTTCTTTTAGCATGTTGACCATGATGTATCTATTTCAATATGTCTTCTGATTTGACCACAGCTTCAGGGGTATTAAAAGGAAGAAGACTGAAAAATGGAATTGACTTTTATTTATTCTTTACTTTTTTTCTACTGAAATCATTTATAACCTCTCACTCCAAAAACTGCAAATAACTGAAGTCCTCTTGTAAGCACAGCTGGCCCAGTATCCCAGTGTGACATACAACCCTTGATATCTGCCACCAGACCAGTTTAGCTCCAGACCGTTGTTTTTTCTTTTAGTCAGAAAATAATCTGAGAAATTAAATTGCAGGTTACTTCAGTTATTTCAGACACAAGTGAATACCTAACCCTCATCTGCAGGAGTCTAGGATGCCTCACTTGAATCTTGATCATGGCAGGTCCTGTGTTTTGTGAGCTTTTTTTGCTTCACATACGCCTCAAATTCATGGTGAATTCCTTGCAATATAGTTTCAAGCTTCAGATCTTCAGTGTTGTTTACATAGAGAATTGGCTGTCTTTGGATGGAGAACCATTACTTCATCGGGTAGGAACAGTATTCTTTTTGTTTCATTCCATCTCCAGGCCTTTGTTTCTGTATTTGAAGATGTGAGAAATGTGCTATATGATCTTCTGACACATTCTTGGGTAGTTTTTTGCCTATGCTTTTTCTTTCCATACAAAGTGCATAAATCTCTAGTCAGTAAAATACCTTAAAGGAGCCATTCTTTAAAAAAAACTTAGATGCTTTGAGGACATCACACCTAAGTGATTGGGGAGCCTACATGTTGTTTTAAAGTGATAGAAGTACAAAAGAACTAAATTCACAAAAAAAGAATTGCCCTCCAGAATCTGTGTGTCACTTTTGAAAACAGAGTTTAATCTGCCAAGGTTTTCAGGCCTGTTATCAAGGCATTGTTCAACATCACTAAATTTTAGGTTGTGGGTTCATTCCTCCCATTGAATTTGGAGTTAGTAAATCGATTGCAGTCCTCTGCCAGAAGCAGTCCCTGTTTTTAAAGGTTCTTAGAACATTGAGAGTAGCAAAATGGAAATGCACTGAGGTCATACCCAGCTCATCTTCCCAGATCGTCATGTAAGTTTGTTCTTCATTAGACTTTCTGGGTTTTATGTTTTTTGGGGAGGGGAGAAGTGGAAGTATGCCAGTAGACTGTTGCAAGAATGACTGACTTGTCAGGGATTCTCTGGGTTTTTTCTTATCAAAAAATCAGTTTAGATTTTTTGACAATGAAAGCTGTATGGCAGAAGAAACAGTAAATTCGTAAGCTATTCTTGCTGAACTGCTGAAGGTCTGAGACAACTTAGGTTTTGTCTGCTTTTGGATTTTTCATTGTTTCTGTTCAAAATGTTGTGTTTTTAATCTCAGCTAAGTGTGTGCTGTTGTAGTATGCCTCTAAACAAATCTTGGAGCTCTTTCTCCTAAAAATATGCATTGTCTGCATAGATAGTAAGTTTGTTTCCTTGCTTAGATAGAATACTAGGTAAATCAAGGAAAGCCAGAATAGAAAGTGAGCTGCAGAGAGGTTGCTTCGAGAAAAACAGAAAAGATCATAAACCAAATCATCATCATTAAATAGTTACCCTGGCAAAACTGTATTAGGATGTCTCGAATGTATTTCTGAGGCTAGATAGGATTGAATTGGTTCATGTAAAGGATTTGATTTCCCCTGTCCTGTTAAGGAATTGCATAGATTTTGTGAAATAATGTTCAGGCTCCCAAAATACTTTTTTCAAAGAGTTCAAAGCTAAACAAAGTCTGTTAAACATACAGGATCCCTTTGAGAGAATTTATGATCTGAACTCTTTTATTAATTTTAAAACAGATTAAACAATATATGTCAGGAATAATTATCTGCTCCAAGTCTTTTTGCAGTCTTAGAACAGTAGTAGGGTTTTTTAAGAAAATTGATTCGTGATGTTACCCCTTGCTTTGGAAAGACACATTTTTAAACAAGCATATTCCTTTACTAAAAAAATATGCTAATTTGGTAGTACACCGTACTGAGTTGAATAGGAATGACAGCTTCTAAGACAGCCTTTAATTTGGTATTCAAAACCAAAATTGTAAACTTTGGTTTTGTTTGGTAGCTTCTTAAAACAGTCAGGATGTACAGTAGCATTTTTAAAAGATGCTAATGGCTTCAAAGAGGAGATGGAAGTCAGGCATACATTTTGATTATGGTGGAGGGGTTGCAATAGAAAATAATTTTTTTTTTCACTGCAGAGATTAAGAGAATGAGACAAGGAAAAACAGACTGAAGATAGTTGCTTTCATTTGGCAGGGGTGTTTAATAAAAGCAGAACTTGTGGTTGTAAAGTGTGCTTATTAAATTCTTCATTTACACTACCTAATTAATTCTAGCATTTTAAATTAACAGTGAAACTGGTCCCTGCTGTACCATTTCATAGCTACAGCATATTTTGTCCAACAACCCAGTTGTTCAGGTTTAATCAGCTGCTCTCAAAAAATGAGAAGGAACTTGAGTCAAAACTAAATGGCATAAACGTTTTAGAGCGACTTTGGATGAAGGGAGGTAACTTCACGGAGGAAGACTGTGGCTTCAGATGGACGTGAGGCTTGGCGCTTACAAGTGTAGCTAAGCTATATAGTGTTGCAGATGCTTTTTACTTATTTTGTCCAAAGAAAGCCGATGATAAATACCTTCCTGACTTGGAGGGAGAGAATTTGAATTCATGAGAAAATTTTGAGAAGAAATAGTGAACTTCTTTTGTCCTGTGTTTGAAAACAAAAGATCTAGTCAGTGTAGTGTCCATCAGAGGCTGTAACTGCTACTGGCCAAGTGAGTTGTCCTTGTTGGCATAGTTCATGTGTGGGAGAACGGGATGTTTGTTATTAATTTTTGATGGATTGAGGGCCTTAGTTGAGCTCTTAAGAATTATATTTTTTTTCTCTGTAATCTACACAGGAATGTACAGGGCCTTAGTTGAGCTCTTAAGAATTACATTTTTTCTCTGTAATCTACACAGGAATGTACATCTCCAAGTCTTCAGATGGTCAGTATCTAAAAATCTTTAGATCTCAAATAATCTTTCGTATCTTACAACAATTCAGGCACACTGTAAAGGAGAATATTTATTGACAGGATCTCTGTGCATCACTTAAGTTATGA